TTACAGAACTGTGTAGAAAGTCCTCCACATCATCAGTAAGAGACCCACAATACCATTGAACAACCTGAGCATCAGGAATCTTGAATACAAACCCAGAGGAGAACAGCTGATGCCTCAGAGCCCACATCTGTTTTTTTCTGATGAATGCTTCAAAGGAGGGAGTGACTCCACATAATCAGAAGTAAGGACAGAAAGGAACCTCGGGATTATTTTCTTTATAGAGCAATGATTCTTCTTACTGATTTACAACATATTAAGGAAAAAACAGTGTTTTAAAGCAAGTCAGTTAAAACTGTCCTAGTGAGGAAAGTATCTGTGAATTAATTTTCTCTTGAAGCATATTCTGATAGACAAAACCCATTTACAGAAATATATAGTCCAATAGAGTTAAATTGTTTTCAAAAGAGAGAAATCATTTATTTATCAGCGTTACTCCATAAATTTACTGAATTTTTCATAGAATCCATGTGAAACATGTTAACGTCAAGTAATGCGTGTTTGGTTACATTAAATAGACTTGCAAGAGAAATCCACTTCATAATATTTTTAAAATATTAAAGCAAAAAGACCTTTTTAAAAATAAGGTCTAGGTTGCTAAGGGCCAGCCATACCAAACTCATTGTAAACATGAAGTCCAGAGTAACACCAAGAGCTCTGTGTATATAATTTTTTTCACATAAACAATCGCTGTCAGACATCACCCCTAATGTAAGAAACCTCAGCCATAGTTAAAGACAGTTTAACATCTTTCCTACTATTTTACTGTCTGGATAGCAGACACTTATTCCAATGAATCGAATATTCTTCACTCAGATTCACTTAATTATAATAAAGAAATAGTAGATGGCAGAATAAGCTGTCAAAAGGATTGACTAGCATCATATTTTCTTCATATTCGCAGAATTTTTGTTTGAGGCAAAGCCTTGTATTGGCAGATACTGTCTTCTAGAAGTTTCTGGAATGATCCTTCCTATGTGTTTTTGCAAGAACTAAGACTTAGCAGACACTGTCTTGAAATCATACAGTGTCTATTTTACTGCTGGGGAAAACAAAACTGGGATTAAGTGACCCAGGTGTCCAGGAAGATGCAGTGTTAGGACTAGGGGTAAAATTTATTGCCACATAATCTTCACTCCATGTAATTATCCAACTTGTATTTATATAGTGATACAATTTGCCAAGCTCCTCCAAGATTATTTCACTTTGTCTTCTGAAGGAGCTTCATATCTGACGGTTCTGTAGCTCCTTTACTGAAATGTTCAAGTTTTTGCTTAGTGAGACAGGCAAACTGCTGCGATAATTCTGTTTTCCATGGACTTTGTTTTAGGAAGTGGTACTGGCCATCCTATCTGATACAGATTACTCTACAAGCTGCTGGGAAGAAGGGTGACATCAAAATAACCATCCAGGCAAAACCCCACTAATTTGCTGATCATCTGCAAAGGGCTCACTCATACTCTTCTGTTCTCTAGCCATGATCAAAACATCTACAGAAATCTTTGTTAACGGAAAGTGGATACAGCACAGACTAGACAGAATACGGAACAGAGAGCACCAAAATCCTGTTTCTGTACTCAGTTTGTATATCCTATTTACATACTAGTGGTCAGGTCGATCAGTGGATTTATCTTTGAGAAGGAATTTTGCTCTATGTTAGAGTGTCACGGATCTCAAATTTTGCCAATTCTCTTTTATATTAGCTTTTTTGTTATGACATCAAATTAATATATTCCTTTTAACCTGTTTATAACATTGCAGGGGCCTAAGATTTATTTTTATATTTAAATGTCCTTTTCATAAACTGTGCCCTACAACTGTACCAGAGGATTGATATTTTAAATCTTAGTGATTAGAGAGGTGGGAGGAAGATAAGAGCCTGTAATATGAAAGTGGGAACAGATGTTTTGATGAAACATTCTGGCATGAAACTCTGTATAGCATTTCTTCTTTACCACTTCCTCCCACAAATAAAATTAGAATAAACGAGAAAGTAGAGTTTATATTCGTATATGATGAAGAATTTCTAGGGATTATTAACAGACAGCAAGGCACCATCAGGAACATTGGCAGAAATTAATGTCTTAGATCATCACTCCCACTTGATTTATGCTTGTCTGCTGTTCTGGGTAAGCTTATTCTTCTCATTTAAATAGTTATTATGTAAGTAGCACACCTTCCAGTCTCCTTTAAGCTTAAGTCATTTGACTCACTTTCTGAGTTGTTTTGGTGATATGTTTTACTATTCCCGAAAAATTTGTTTTCTTTTTCTTCTTCCTTTTTTTTTAATATATCTGATAATTATAGCATTTTATAGGATTTCCTTTAAGTAATGCAAAGAATTTTTTTTCCACTTAAAATATGGGTTCTAGATGCTTTCATATGCATTGTGGATTCTGCCTTTTTAACTACGTTGATGATCATTGATATTTTGAGTATTATGTCTGTGAAGGTGTAAATATGTAAAAATAGGAACCAAATTAGGACAATTTTAGAAAAATTATTAGTTACCAAATTGCACTGCACTCTCCATGGAAACCAAAAAAACACAAAACCAGAAATAATACTGCAGTGACATAAAGGTCAGATCAGTGAACACTCTATGAAAGCTTTGGTTCCTGAAGGAGAAGTAACAAAGAGTCTCATCACAAGACAAAAATATTTTCTTCTTAAAACAAAAGTAAAATTAAGGCTGAGATTACAATTGCTGGTGCTGAATGTAGCACTTACTACATTAAATTTGCACACTGTGGTTTGGAATAATGTCTTAATTAAGAAGTTTTTAAATCATGAGTGACTGAGAACAAACTCTGTTATAAACCAGAGTGGAATCTAGACTGAACTTAAGTTTTCAGAGTCTTTAGTGAAGCAGTCCTTATAATTTATTGCCTACATCTGTACATCTGTTATATAGTCACTGAAAATAGGTGTTTTTTCCTGAAAGGATCTATCAAGAACATTTGTTTATCTAACTTCAGGTATGCAATTTATCAAATTGGATCCTATCCCAAATTTTTAAATATTCAGGAAATGGGACGTAGTACAATGATCATAAACAGGCATTTGTGGGAAAAAGAGATATGTCTGACATCTGAATTAAGAGTAGCACTACTCAGCACTGCCAGTGTCACATGATGTAGGAACACATGGACCACCGGTCTGCACTCATGATCAAGCTACGCTCTCAGCCCCTTCACTTAATTCATTCTTAAAAAAAGAGATTATAGCATTAATGTTGACAAATCTTCCATGCTTCCCAAACTTAACACAAAACTATGCTATCTAAAACATTCAAAGCATTACTAGAGTGCAGTTACATGGCAGGAAAGAAAATGTGAAGCAGGCAATGCTTTTCTTTGTGTGTATGAAAGAATTTCTATTATACAAAACAAATGCATTGAGAGAAAAATCCATCTTTAAAAAGCTACTTGTTTAATTCAGGGTATTCCCATAATAGCAAAAATATATTCACAGTAACACTGTGTACATATTTTCAGGAAATGTATGTTATATTTCAGTGAGAATTAATATTGACATCTTGCAAAGTAGTTGACTATCTACTTCAATATTATGAACACAGACTTATAATAACGTCTGATTTGCCCTATATGACCTCTTAAAGTAAGGTATTCTTTATCACAGATATATGACAAAACTTCTAATCTGCAAATAACTATGGTGACATTAAGTACACCTAATTATATATACATATATATAAGCTTAGGGACATAGTTCTGGACCTCTGCTATGGTAGTAGAACATCAAATCAATAAAGGCAGGCTTCTTTTCATAGACCCTTTCTCTGAATCAATCACACTTTCAAAGTAGGAAGAAATGATTTTTCATTTTTTATTGAATGGAAAGTCTACCTCCT